CCCTGCTTCCAGAGCACTCACTAAATAAGAAATTTGCTTTTCATCTATGCCAGCAACATTTGAAGCATTTGAAATTCTATATTTGCAGTGTTCTTGTTAATAAATGCAAGTATGGCCAGGCCAAATGCAAACAAGGACAGGTAAAGGGATATATACTCTCACTCAGTTCCTCTGACCACACACTTTTTGGGCTAACTTTAATCCACAGGAGCTAGGAATAACGAAAGCATGTTCTCGTTTTATATTAGTTCTCACATGTAGCTTTGAAATCCTTTTGAAAGTGTGGCTTTTAAATAAATGATAGTAGGGATGGGACAGAATCCTAAAAGGGCAAAAAAATAAAATTATTGAATTCAGAACCATTGGCCAACTGTGTTTGCACATAGAGGAATTAGATCTCCGTATTTAACCCATCCATGCACCGAAACATCCACATACATGCATGCTAGTGAACACACACACTAGGGGGCAGTGAGCACACTTGCCCAGAGCAGTGGGCAGCCCTATCCACGGCACCCGGGGATCAGTTGGGGGTTAGGCACCTTGCTCAAAGGCACTTCAGTCACAGACTGTCAGCCAAGGAGATCGAACCAGCGATTTTCCGGTCACGAGGCTGGTTCCCTAACCTCCTGCCCACGACTGCCCCATAGTAAACTAGGAATAGTAAATTAGGAATTTTGATATGCAGATTAGCTTCTCTCTAACATTGTACACCATATTAAACAACCACAAGATGTCTGAACTCTGTGCTCCAGCTGTCTGAACTCTGTACACCAGAAGGGCAGTCTATGTTATGTTTTGGTCAAAGTGTTTTTTATGTAATTAGTCCAGAAGATACTGCACACCAGACAAAAAGCAGAAAAGAGCTTATGAACAAGACGCTTAAGTTCATTTTACACTCTGGAATAAAACTTTCAACATCATTTACTACATTTATGACATTTAGTATCAGTTAACTAACTCTTCACAAACTTGCTGTGAAATACAATGTGACTAGGCTGAAGTGAAACCAGACTAAGATTAGTATTTGTATGTCTATGTTAAAGACTGTAGATTGGGGTCAGTTTCAAGCCACAAGTCACTGACTATCAATGTGTGGTCAGGGTCTGGATTTAATAGAGTAGAGTAATGGTAAGATGCTACCTGGCGTCACTGCCTTTGGTGGCATCTGGTGTGTTAGCACTCCAGATGTTCTTACTAAGGTCACATGAAATTAAAATGAATATTAATACCTTTGAGGGAACATTTACATTGTTTGTACCTTGATAAACAAAAAATGCACCTGCAAAGAACCTTTATTTCTAACAGTGTACTTGATAGCACACAGACTTGTTTTGTGAGTAGAAATAACATTGTTTACATTTAGATTCGTTCATTTTGCCATGTCTTCATCATTTGACATTGAAATAAATAAATTAATAAATTAAAAGTTTACAATTAATACAGAACTAGCACAGAGAATGTAATTGATTGTGTAATTATATAATTAAAAATTAAATGGCACAGTGAAACAACAATAACTCTGAATCTCTAACTCTGAAAGTTTCTCTTATCTTCTCTGCTACAGATATTCATCCAGATCACTTTGATTTTGTTGCGTGTGTGTGTGTGTGTGTGTGTGTGTGCGCGCACAGTGGGGATACTGTTGCTCTGTTTTGTCCCCAGTTCTGCATGTTTCGTCGGCCACAGCATGGGGTGTAGCCAGCGAGAGAAAGACACACGATGGCCGGCGCTTGGCAGACGGCAGTGGCACTGTGATTAAAATTCGTCCCTAAAGCCACAGTCTTGAGTGCCAGCATAATTTAAAAGCCCCTCGCTTTAATGCAGAACAATGGGAGTAAATGACAGGCCTTGGAATCGGTCTATCGCACTGCCAAACCTGCTGAAAGGAAGGAGAGGGAGGGTGGCTACATGGACGATGGGGAAATGGAAGGAAGGGTGCCAGATATATAGACTGGCCTTAATTACCCTATAAATAAGTTGCTTGCTGTCTTGTCCTTTTATCATCCTCATTGCGTTAGCGTTTGTGCAACTGAAAGCTTTTGCAGTGATGAAGCTCAGAGACATTTCTCAAGAAGCCCTCCCTGAAAATACAGATGAACCAACGTATACGTTTAGAGGGAGCCAATCCTGGATCGAACGGTTCACTTAAAAAAGTGAAGTGTGTTGCACTATATCTCCACTAAATTGTAATGTGACATTTACAAGAAGAAAGAGAGCAAAATGTTAGGCTGAAGTACATTACTTTTCCGTAAATTATTTCAGGGCCTCTGTCTTTATAATAAACTTTAACGCTTTAATGCTGAGGCAGAAAAGTAGATGTAAAGAATCTACTGTTCTCCTTGAAATAATGTGATTCGTCAGTTATGTTGTCACATATAACAAGCAAATGAATGAGAAGGAACATATTTCCTTTACATCTCAGACCAAACAAATCAATAATAAATGTTTCCACATCGACTTCAAATGCATTTTGAATGTGTGCAAATGCTCACTCAGAAATGAATTGCATCTAACAATAAACACAGAACGGAGCTTCTTTTATGTAGTGATGCAAAATTTGGTAGCACACATAAAACCAGTTCATGTGTTGATCCATTTTACTATGGCCAACATGTATATGTATGTACACCAGCTACTCTTTAAGGAGATAAAGGGAAAAAAAGACAAAAGTACGGTCAAAAAAAGTCAAAGAACACTCAAAGTGACCAATAACTACAAATGAATCATTTTTCAGTGTCAGGAAGACTAATCAGAAAAATGTACTTAACACCACAAAAAACTACCAAATATAATATTGAACTTGCTTTCACTTTTTAAAAGAACAATGCTGGTGTTTTTTTTTTCCCGCACCTCCAAAGTTCAGTCATAGAAGTTGATTAGATTTTTTGCTTCTCACAATCCAAGAAATCCCAAACACATTCAGTGGTGTTGATGTCTGGACTCTGGGCTGGTCAGTCCATTGTTCTGAGAACACCAGCAGCTTCTTATTTTCTTCTTATTTTGTCTGTTTCCTTTTCTCAGTAACTATTTCTTGACAGCTACACATCCTTTCACACTCATAGTTGTCTTCTCACAGTGGAAGGATGGACAGAAACACCTGTGGATGTTTTCAGATCTGAAGCAGCTGGATTTTCTCTTCTCTCTCAAAGATGAAAGCTTTAAGTGCTGTTTATCTGATGGGGGCAGTTTCGGTGAACCTACCAGGTCTTGCATGTTTAGCTCCAGTTGTGGAAACTCCTGTTTTTCACTTATTTTCCTTTGACTTTGCCCTGACATGTGCAAGTGGATGCTATTTTATCCGATCTCCTCAGAAGTATCTCCTGCAAAAATGAACTTAATGCCTGTAGATGAAGTGGAAAATAAATAAATGAAGAGCGGTCTCTGACTTTTACTTAGCACTGTACTGTATGGACAGGATTAGTTTAACATGAGCAGGCAGAATGATGTAATTATTACCAGTGTTTTGCAGTTATTTTAGTTTTGTCCAAATCTGCTATTGACTGCTTATTGACTGCTCACTCCAGTGTTACTGCCTGCTTGTACCTACTTTCAGATGAACTAAATTTATCTCACTTGAATTATCTGTATTGAAGTTGTCTGTAAATTGCTAAAACCTTGTATCTCCAGAATGATAACTTTACAGGAGAAGGAAAAAAACCTGCTTTAATTTTAATGTAAGTCAATGGAACCATACATTTTTTCAAGTCTTTTTGGGCTGTTTCTTTTGGTCCATTCATCATGGAATTTACACACAATGTTAAGGGCAACAGGCATTTTCAAAATATCTCAAAAACTGAAAAATGGAGATATAAGGTTTTGTACTGGATCATGTTTTGTGGAAAAGAAGTTTTTGTAGTTTTTGTTATATATGGAAGCAGTCAAAGAAGCATTTACTTGCAATTAAAGACTCATACGATATGTTAGGTAGAGTAAAGTTAGAGATTAAAAACGTCGTCTCTTGTATCGAATAGTATGACTGATTATATTGGCCGGAGAGGAGTTGAAAGCGTTAGAGAGTGGTCTTCCGTCCAGCTCATCTTCTGCTTTTGGCAGACTCTGATGGTTCTGAATTATTTACATGTTCGACAGTTCACGCACAGGTAAAGCACAAACAGATCCCAGTGTAGAACTCTCAACAGTAAAGTCATCTAACCTTCACCATGTGTCTCTCTCCCCCTGGCTATCTGTTTGTTCTTATACCTAAAGTTTGAGTGCTTGCCAAGCAGAGTCCCCACGGACACACTATCTTCATCTGTAGCCCCACTTTCTCTCTGCGTCCAATGTCTTCATGCTTTTACTAGAGGACACACTTCCAGGTCCCTTTCTGTCTGTCTCTCTCTCTCTCTCACTCTCTCCTTCTCTCTTTTTCACTCTCTCACTCACTCTCTCGCTCGCTCACGCACTTTTTTATTCATAAGCAGGCTCAGCACGCAATGTGGAACTACCTTCTCCCTCAGGGCTAAACATCGAGTTCCTTAAGAAGCCTGAGCCCTTGATTCAAACGGTTATCAATAACCTTGAAATGCTTTTGCTCTGTCGCCCAATTTGCTTGTTATGTATTTGAGCATGCACTCTTGCATGATAAGAGAGTAAGGGGGGAACAATATTAGAGTCATGCAATAAAAAAAGGTACAGTCGAGAGTGAGAGGTTCTACACATTTCCATTAGAAAAAAATTGTTGCTTTTTTATTCTGGGTTTCTTTCGGTTCTTTCTCTTGGCGCTCCTTTTTGTCAGGTCATGTTTACTTATTTTTAAGACATTTCTTAAAAGAGATTCCGAAAAGCCTTTGTGCAGTGTAGAGTTCAGCTTAGCGTTTCCCCTCTGAGGTTTCCCTCTGTAATTACTCAGTAATATTTAGTTGAAAAAGTAGACAAATGAGTTTTGATTTGTAAGAACAAATAGGTTTATATCTCCTGGACTCCTCCTGATGTAATCCAGGGAAATCACTCTGAACTCTGAGCTTACTTTGAATGCACTGTCTTTCTTTTGTCTCCAGATGAACATGGACATTTGAAAATCTACCTGCCCAAGAAGCTGCTCGAATGTCTGCCCAAATGCTCCTCCCTGCCCAAGGAGAGACATCGGTGGAACACCAATGAGGTAGGGAATCTCTTCAAATCGTTTCAGGTACTGGAGAATTGTCCGGCAGTTCGACCAACTTTCACGGCACTTTCACACTTTTTAATTGAACTTTTGGGGGTCGAAATCCGTCTCCAGCTCATGCAGAGAGGCGATGTGCTTCTTTCACTGTGACCACGCCAAATTACTTTTGTAAGTTTTAGCCATGTAAGAACAAAGTACGTCAGCCTTCGCTCAGTCCTGGCTTTCTATATCCTGCTGAGCGCAAGCTCACAAACTCTAATCCTGGTGCTCCCTGCATGATTTCACCTGAGCAGAGCAAAGAATGGGCACAGTATAATCGAACCGAGCAGGGAACAAATATTAAATACATTAGAAAGCACCTACTTATGTATATCGCTGTTGTCAGAAGAAAACCTCATATCTCTGTTTTTTTGATGTTTTTCAGTTTTTGACATATTTTGAAAATGTCTGTTGGCCTTTACATTGTGTGTAAATTTCATGATGAATGGACCAAAAGAAACGACCCAAAATGACTTGGAAACAATTCTGGTTCTGTTGACTTACATTCAAAGTAAAGTAGGTTTTTTTCTTTTTGTTGCCATTTTGGAGATACAAGGTTTTCTTCTGACAACAGCGATATGTTACCTATTTACCAATTATAAGTAACCCTGACTAAGCTCATTAATCAGCACATGACTGATTTATTCAGTTCAGTTTCTTAACCTGCTTGGGACAAAGCAATCAAACATTATAACTCCAAACACAAAAGAAATTGAAGAAAATATTTACATTCATTGCTTGCAGGTGCTGACAGTCCTGAAGATGAATGTGATTCAGGAAAGTCAAAGCCTTGAATAATATACAGAGTTTAACTGCTAGAAAAACATTGTCATGCCAGAAATATAAAATAAAACCTTCACATTTGCGCAAATAAATTGCAAATAAATAGAAATGCGGTCGTCATTAAAGGCAATCTAAAATAGAAATGGACCTTTTTATCTAAGCACTGCCTAAGAATTTGCTAAATACCTTAGGTAGTCCCTGTCCCATGTCCCTTGTCATATTAACCAAGATTTATCATATACTATTTAAAAGACAAAATTCTCATGCAGTGACTTTGATTTAGCTTGAAAATGTCTTCTGAGTTTTGATTACATCACTGTGCACCAGCGGGTGTGGAGGGGTAATATTAACCCGTAATATCCTGTCTCACCTCCCCCTCCATCCACCCCATCTATCACTGAAACACATAAATATGTCACAGTGTTGAAGGAAAATGATTTACAATTCATGTTGACTTTAATGCTGATGCTAATACATTAATTTTCATGCACTGCGGGATGAATGTTTTGAGTGCAGTCTTGAAAAAAGCATTAAAACAAGCATCATTTACATGTTTTCATCCATACTGACTGAAAAGTAATCAGAGAATTGCTGGAAACAGATATTTATAAAGCGCTTTCAGAATGTTAACAAAAGCAAATGCCTGTTCAGAGAGAAATGAAATGAAGCCTATAAATCAATTTTATTTCACTTTTGAATTTTCTTTCTGTCACTATAATTACAGAGCTTGACATTTTATTTGAAACATGACTTAATATTTTATTAATTCTCGAAGAACTTACAAATATTTACTGAAAAAAATGAACTTTTTATGTTTTCCTACACAACTAATCTGTTGCTGTTTGTCTTCACTGACTGCCTGTTTCTGCATGTTGATTTGAGCTGTAAATCTCTCTGGTTTCCAGCCAGCATTAGTGCTTGTGTACAGAAAGTATCTACGTTGTTTGGAACTCCCCCCATTCTTGGTCCTGAAGGCATTGTGACATTCAGAGACAAACAAATACACTCAGCTGAGATTAGGCGAGACCTATTTGGCCTGATTCCAGCGCACACAAAACTTTCAGATGCTTGCATTTCTTTCTGTGGGTGTATCTTTTTTTTTAATGGGATATTTCAGAAATGTAAGCCTTAAGAATTTGCCTTTGATATTAACCTTTAAATAATTTGATTGATCTCACTCTATTGATCTATTAATTAGTTATGGAAAGAAAGTAATTTGCTATAGAAATTGATACATTAAGGGACTTAAAAAACGCATTGAAAACACTCTGTAATGATAATGGCAATATTACACACTTAAAAAATAAAGGTGCCTAGGTGGATTCTTTGAAGCGCTGCCATGGTAGAACCACTTTGGGTTCGTTAAAGAAGTTTTCAGTGAATGACTCTTTAAAGAGCTAATGTGAAGGTGCTACATAAATTAGGAATGTCAGTCTTACAGTCTGAAAAATAATGCTTACAAATTGAGCGATTTTTGATATGCAATTTATCCTCAAAGCTTTTAGCTTTTACCTTTTTTTAAGGCTATCACATGTAGTAAAATAACAGCTATACCACTCCACTTTACTCTCTACCCTCTTAAAATAGATGGTTCTTCAAGTGTTCTTCAGTTAAGACAATGGTTTCACAATGCAAAGAGCCCTTTAGGCATGAAAATGGTTCTTTCAATGTTCTTTGCATTGTGAAATGGTTCTTCAGATTGAGGGAGGAAGTGTTGTATGTGGTTCTTTATGATTTTTTTTTAAAAGAACCAACAAGGGTTTTTCTATTGTTACAAGCTTGACAATGTAACAATAGAAGAACCTTTTTTTGTGCTATATAGGACCCTTTACAATTCGTTTCTTTATAGAACCGTATACAACATGTTCTTCATCAGAGCCATTTCACAATGCAAAGAACCCTTTAAGCATGCAAATAATTAAGTGTTCAGAGTTCTATATAGAACAACTGTCTTTACTAAAGAAGCCTTAAAGAATCAATATTTTTGAGAGTGTACTCATATAGATTTAATGGAATAAAACTTTCATTATAATTTTTTTTTAACTAAAAGGTGCAAGACATAACACAAAATGATTATGCTAGTAATGTTAGAGGTGAAAACAGACGATTAGCATTAGTCTGGATATCTTAAAGACTTTAGACACTTTTCCCAGGGTAAATTTCAAGTCACTATGGCAGGGGTCCAGTTAGAGAAAATATCCTCAAGCAAAGGTCTGGAACATCATAATGTCTAACTTGCATTACGATTCAGTGCCATATATTGTTTACTGAATTAGCCTAGTAGGTATATCAGCATCTTATGCAGTCAACAACTGAATATCAAATCAAATAAAGTACAATTCAGTAATATTTCAAAAATATTTATTGTCAGATTTCTCCTTTTAGAGCCGCCATGTAAAATAATCCGACTGCTGTGTCTCGCCTCGTCCCTCTCTGTGTGTGCGTCAATCTCTCGAGTTTCAGTGCTCATCGTAATGCACAGATCTGATTGGCTGAGTAGCGTCACGTGGGATATTTACAATGTATGCGATTGGTCTGTGAGTCTCCTGGGCTGCTAAAGCTACCGTAAAGGCTAGGAAAGTTACACCGATTAAAATAGGACCACCCCGTCAAAATTAAATAATCCTCCATAGTTTATTGTTTATAGGTCCAGGTCCGCATAGGACAGCGTCTGGGTCCGGACTTGGACCGCGGCCCGCCTATGAGTGACCTCTGCACTATGGGTTTGTGTTTTGAGTCTGGGATTAATAAAACACAGAAAGAATTGTAGCCTTAAGTGGTAAGTAAGGCGTAAATAGTGGCTTACAAATTTAAATATCAATTTGACAGAAATGCAAAACACCACAATAATATCATGCTGACTGCATTGGTGGACACGTCATAACTGTGCACATTTCTGTTTCTTCAGGAGCGCCATGCCTCTAGATGCATGCAATAAATAGTTCCATGTAAGCCAAATTTGTGCTGCTGATATTTTAAAGTCAGTGATACACAGTGCGCATTAGCTCACCATGAATGGTTCTTCATAGACTTATTTTTGTAAACGAGATATGAAAATGTTTTAAAATTTCAAAAGTAAAAACATTATGAGTGAAATGTTTTCCTCTAGCCGTGCATTCAAGCCAAGAATCATTAAGGAATCTTATTTTTTAAGAATGTAGAGTGGTGTGTTAATGAAAACCAAGTCTATGCTGAAGCCTAACTTACTACCTCCTTGACCTCTCAATAATCCTTCGTCTGAAACTTCTTGAAGATAAAACATGCTCGGTGAGACGCACCCGCAACTGAAGATGGTGCATGCTTTGGCCTTCCACTTTAACTCAATTTCGCCTGCGCTTCAGTGTCAGAACTTATGAGAGACAAAACCCACTGATGTCTTGTTGTTTTGTGCGCAAAAGTTTATTTACGGATTGTAGTTGAAAGTGCATTTTGATGTGTGAATGCAGGAATCCTCCCTTTGTGTACTGGTAGGCTTTGTGAAGGCGAACGGATGATGCTGCGAAGAGGCACATGCGTCTCTAACCCTTTTCAGTCGAGAGCGTGCATCCTTAGTGTTGGGAGGCCAACAGCCTAGCTGTCCCAGTGTGCTTTCTATCAAAGCCTCCACCCTCCACCATCCTTAGCTCTCAACTTCCAAGGACTCCTCGTTTCTTTTCCGATTTTAAAGAGCTGTTGCGTTTCACACTTCTCGACCTTGCATGCTTGTGAAGTCTTCTTTAGCCATTGTAGTGTGGCAGCACTGTAAAATTGAGTGAGATGTTAGAAGATGTGAACAAGATGGCATTTGTGAGAGTTTGCCAGGATTTCTTTATATAGAAGTTTATTTATTATTGAAGTTTTAATTCAACAGCTTGATGTGAGGTGAAAGTAGAGATAGAAAACTTCTTTGTGTTCAAGAAGCTTCCCCCCCATTGTGTAACTGGAGTGGAAGAGAGGTGAAGTGCTAAAATATGGTGTTTTTTGTGAGAGTAGATGATTAAACTGTTATTTTAACTATGTTTAGCTTAGTCAGGTATGGCAGCATTTTCTAATGTTTCTCATTTACACTGGAAACCATTGCATCCCCATTGAGCATATGTCTTCGTCGCCTGTCTGATGATATACAGCAGATCTATACGTTGCCCTGACAAGCAATAGCTAAAAGGAGATTCAAGGTGAGCTTAAGGTTTGATAAT